TAGACTGTAAATCCAAGGTAAGAAGACAGAATTAGTTGAGGTCCAAAGTAGGTAAAATTTTTTATGTGATAAACTTTAGATTCAGCTTTTGATTATTCTTAGAGAAAATAAAAACATAAAATGAGGTAGCTGTAGTCATGCGACTATCCAATAGCAATAGATGAAAATACTTATGGTCAAGATGGATACTTGATTTATTTGGGTCTAAGCCAGTGAGAAACTGAACTTCTCCTTATATTTGTAACACCGATAATAGTGATAATAATTATTATTTATCAAGAATGTCCCATTATATTTACTTAACACACATTATTTCATTTAATTTTTTTTAAAATTTTACTTTAATTTCTAGGATACAAGTGCAGAAAGTGCAGGTTTGTTACATAGGTGTATGTCCAGCATGGTGTTGGCTGCACCTATCAACCCGTCATCTAGGTTTTAAGCCCCACATGCATTAGCTATTTGTCCTAATGCTCTCCCTCCCCTCACCCCCCACTCCCTGAATTTAATCTTTTTTTTTTTTTGAGACCAAATCTTGCTCAATCGCCCAGGCTGGAGTGTGGTGGCGCAATCTTGGCTCACTGCAAGCTCTGCCTCCCAGGTTCCCACAATTCTCCTGCCTCAGCCTCTCAAGTAGCTGGGACTACAGGTGCCCGCCACCGCACCCGGCTAGTTTTTTTTGTATTTTTAGTAGAGACGGGGTTTCACCGTCTTAGCCAGGATGGTCTCGATCTCCTGACCTCGTGATCCGCAAATCTCGGCCTCCCAAAGTGCTGGGATTACAGGCGTGAGCCACCATGCCTGGCCGAATTTAATCTTTATAATAACCAATAACATTGGAAGATAGGTATTTTTTGCTCTGTTTTACAGATGGGGGAACTGAGGCTTGGGGTCCACAAAGTCATTCACTTGGTAAAGAGCAAATCTAGAATTAAACCTCGTATCCCTGCCTCCAGAGGCAGAATCTTGGCCATTACAGGAGCCTTTGCCTTGTGTGTGGTTGAGGGCACCATGTAAGTTCTGCCTAGCCTTCAAAACTCATGCTCCCTCCAAACTCTGATCACCTATGCCTTGTCTGTGTGTGCCACTCACTTGGAATTTATCATATAATACTCTGAATTGCACTGATGACACTGTTTTATAGAAAGCATTCCAAAAATATTAGTTGACTGGCACAAATATTGCCCTAGATATATATTAATAGTGGCATAAAACAATAAAGTTTCATTGCTGGCTCATGTCCTAGTCCAATGTAGGTCAGTGGTATGTTGAGGAGGTGAAATGAGGTTGAGGGTGCTTTACTCTACACAGTCATTTGGAAATCAGTGTTCTTCCAGCATAGACTTTGCCTTCTCCAAGAGTCCCAGAGTCTTGCACTGGATTCCCCGAGTTCAGCCAAGTGATTAAGGAAAAGCAAGAGTGTAGAGAAGACTCACCCACTTTTAACCACCTTGAGCTGGAGGTGACAGTCACCGCTACTTACATGCCATTGATGAGCCCTCACCATGTGACCCCCATGTGGGTGGCCTAGGAAATGGAGGAAGGAAAAGGAGAACATGAATATTGATAAACAAAGTACTTGATATTTCTGATGTTCCTTTTCCTAATCTATAAAATGGGAATGATAGAGCAGCTGTGAAAACAGCACACACAGGAGGTGCTTAATAAATGTTGATTCTGATTTTCAGTTTATCATTTGCAGTGGGAAACCTTCATTAGTATCAAATCACATTGAAAGGACTCATCAAAGACTTTTTAGGAGGATCAAAGTTTGATTGGAAGGAAGGGTAAAAAAATAAAAAAATAAATAAAGAAGAACAGGTAAAATGAAACCAAAAGGGGAGAAGATATAGCTATCAAAGAGTATTGGTGGCACCAGCCATCTCCACCGTGTCTCCCTTAATGCCTAACTTTAGGTAAGGTTTCAGAATGACAAGGACCTGTTACTCAGAATTCCCATGATGAATCACAAAAATAGGTGGAGGCAGAAATCATGTTGGTGCTTGTGTCTTCTGCAGGTAATTAAATGAGCGACTAAGTTGGAAACATACATCATACCTACAGGAGGACTATTATTATTAGTCCTGTTATTCTTTTTTTCCATGAGGATAGTAACACGTAGATTGCCATTAATCCTGGCCTTCACCAGAAGCAGCTCTGACCTAGTTTCCCACATGAATCACTCCCTTTGAAGGCAGACCCAGCCCACTGCAGAAATTTAGAACCTGCTCCCTGTGCCCCCCACCCTGGGTTTCCTCTTTCACCACACTTTATCTCTCTGGCATAATGGCCTATTTTGATTCCCTGCAAAGGCCAGATCCCTCTGCCTCTGTGGAGTTGCATATGCTGTCTCCTGTGCTTGTAAAGTTCTTCAATATCTTCTGTCTCTCCTACTTTTTCAGCAAAAAGGTGCTCTGTTTCAGGGAGCCATCCTAGTCAGTGTGAATGTGCACCATTTGTGTTCTCCTGAAGGCTTGTTTTTAGCTCTCTTATTCCACTCTTCACAATGTTCTGGCTACTTCCCTTGTATATTATGAATTTCCTTAGGATAGGAAATGAACTTTTATTTCTATATCCCTGTTGTAGAGCACGTGGACATATTCAGCACATTTACCAAATAACAATTGTCATTTATGTAGCTTCTAAATGCATAACCTTATTTAATATATGTAATAAACATAATGAAGAAACTATAACTATATTTATATATCACCTGCTATATTAGAAAATTTGTAAAAATATATTTTAATACAATATTTATGAAATATATATCATATTCACATATGTATGTATTTTATATATAATTGTAACTATAGTGAAAATGAGGAAACTGAGGGAATTTGACAGCTGTCCACTTAGAATTACAAAAATTGAGATTTGAAGCTATATATGTTTAATTTGAACCCAGCTCATAACCCTGACATATACAAGATACATGAATATCGAGAACAATTTAATTACAGTTCCCTCAAAGAGAGATATATTGTACAATGATTCCTTAATACAATCCATATCATTAGTATGAAGAAGGACACTGTAATGGAACATAGTTCTGAGGAAAGCTGTTTCCTGTCTGGGCTCCAGGCCCCAAGTTTCCAACACTTCCTACTTGGGTCACCCCGGTCAGGTTGGTGACCGCGAGGCTACTGAGGGTGGGGTACAACTTTCTTGAAGCTGATGAAGGAGCATCAAAAAGCCTGGAACTAAACCCACAGGGATAAAGATCTCTGATGAAATGGAAGGACCCCCTCGTCTTCATCACATCCTCTCTGTTAGGAGCTGAATTGTGTCCCCTGAAGTTTGTATGTGAAGGGAGTTGTCATCTCCTGATGGTCTCAGCTGTGGAGAGTCGCCTTGCCCAAGGTCATGTTTTTTCTGAGGTAGCCCATACCCAGTGGTCAATGAGAGCCCAGGCATCTTAGCTCAACAGTGATGACTCTGAAGAGCTGCTGTCTCTCAGGAGCTTCTGGAGGCATCAGCCAAAGCTGTTGCTGGCCCTGTCTGGAAGCTCCAGGTATTTCTCTGCCTGCTCCTGCTTCCATTCCTCTCCTTCCACAGTGTCAATTCCAATACTCCTTAACAAACATCTTGCAGTTGACCCTTTCTCATATAGCTCCTGTAAAAGCTCCAAAACTCTGGGCTATTCCAGCTGAAATAAACTTTTCCTCTTGTCCTATTCCTTCTTCCTGCCTTAATGTCTACAGCTGGGGTTCCAGCAGTCGTCCCGTAATCATAAGTCCACTGCAAGCAAGGAAGCATGCTAAGGTTGTGATATAGAAAAGGAAGGACCCAGGATCTCTGATGACAGCTCTAAGTGACTATATTAATTATCTCTGCCCTGCCTACCTCTGGACTTCTTGTTGCATAATAACAACAAAACTTCTGATATACTTAAACCACTGGTTTTTGGTTGTGGGTTTCTGTTACCTGCAGCCAAACATAATGGCCATTGATACAAAACATTAAACAAATACTCATATAAATGATACTTTTATTTTAATTGAAATATCTGTCATCAAGTAGATTTAAATTATTACTGGAGAATGTAGAATCAGTGGGGTTAGGCCAAATTTTCCATGGGGTAGAAATATCTCTTGACGCTGGAGGGGCTCGAGTACTTTCTAGTTTATTTCTGACTTATTCTCACTCAAATAAGTCAGTCTTGACTATGTAGAGCAAAAAGGTGGGAAGCAGGTGGATGAGGGGTAGATATAGGTAGAGTGGCAGATTGTTGAGAGGTGAATGTCTTTAGTTTGCCTCCGGATTCACTCTCCAGCCTTCCTCACCCTGTTCTCTGGCTTGAGAAGCCAATCTGCACGAACTACACCAATGGGGAAAGCTGGCATGAGATGGGGTAGAAAGAGGAGAAGGTTGTTGGGGTGTTTGTTCCTCCCTGTGGTGTGGTCTTTGAGCTGGCTCTGTCCCTCTAACTAGGGTTGCTGTTCCTCTCAAGTCACCTCTTTACATGACTCTCTTCTTCTGGTTTCCAATAGCCAAGAAGTTGTTAATCTGAGATCTGTAGATAAAGTTTAGGAGGTTTGTGAACTTCAATGGAGAAACTAAAACTATATCTTTATAATCACTGATCTCCAACCAAAATTGACCATTTCCTTCAATCACCAGGCTAGGCAACACACCCTAATGGTATTAGCAATGCCTGTGACTGCTGTCATGAGTATTTTCATATTACATCACAGAGGATGCAGACATGTCAAAGTCTCTTTTATGCTCACCCCTACTTTGAAGTTGCAGTCATTATTAGACCCACCATCAGGCCTTGTTAGATAGTGTGTTAATAAAGAAACACTTATGTTAATATATTACACACTTATTAGCATATTTTATTCATAGGATTTTTATATCATTGTATTCTTTTGTAATTCTAAGTATTTTATTAAATTCATTTAAAGACATTAACTTGAGATCAGTCTTTGGAGTCCATCAGAGTAACAAAAGGTTAGGAGCCCGCCAAGTAACCATTTCTGCCTTTATTCCATCAGCCTGGTGGTCACGACTGCTCCACTCTCGCTAGCCTTAAGGAGGACAGGAATTTTGCCTTGTCGTTCCTCTACACTCTCCACACCATTGTAAGTAGTCCCTCCTTAAGTTATCCTAATTTCAGTATGCTGTCTGTGTTCTGCTAGGGCACTGACTGACAAACCCTGTAAAGGATTTTGACTTCATAGTCAAGAGTGACAGTGGGACCTTGGACAGGTCACTTGATTAGTCTGAGTGTTTTTCTCATTTGTAAAATGAAGATAATACCCAATCCACTGATATCAAAACATCCATGTTATTTTCGGTCAGAACAAATCAATGTAATACATTTGAATAGTGGCACAATAAAAATATTGCATAAGCCAGATCATCTGCATCTCAGCTTTCTCTTCCTTCCTTCCGTCTGTTGGGGTTGATCAGCACGTTGACAGAACCAAAATGGACTGTGTTGGCATAAAGAGAGAGGCTGTTCCAGGAGTCAATCAACAAATGTGTTGTTTCTATAGTGAAGGCTTCATGGCTGAGGCAGTGGGTATTGATTTTCATCTCTTCGTCTGTAATTCTTGAGTCAAGTCTCAATAAAGTGCATTTTCATTTAAGAACCCAGAACAATATTTCTAAAACTGGAATAATATATACACACTCTTCTAAAGAAATTATTTTTAAAAATATGGTGATTTCCTAGTGTTCAATTATTTTAATTATAATATTACTTAAATGTGTACAAATCAATTGGATATATACTCTTATGCCTATAGCTTTTGTACAGCTATGTATCAAAAACAAATGTGAAGTTAAATACAGGAGATGGTATTAAGATGATAAACTGAGCACATGCTAAACTTTCCTTTTCCTGCCCCAAATATATAAAATAAACTATCCATAACAATGTTGAAAAATAAGAACTACTCTACATAGACCAGAAATTATAAAGAATTCCTGAGAGGCTTGAGGCAGATGGTATATGTATAATTGATGAAGCCTTAGCGCTAAACACACCCAGGAGGTGCCTGCTCGCAGTTGGGAGTGGCTTCAAATACTCTGTGTAACTGCTAAGGATTGGATACTGGGGCAGGAGGGAGCTCTAGGGAGCTCTTGATAGTCAAGGTGACTTCTACAATACCACAGCAGGATAAACCAGATGTCTTGCTTCTCTCTCCTCCCTACCATTAGCACCCACTTTTAAGGACAGTAGCAGAAGGGTCCTCCCTAGGCAGGAGCTCTAAATGGAGGCATTGGGCCTGAGAGGCAGAATAGCCCCATGAGTGGCAGATGATAGTCAAGGGAAACAACGAGCCTCCATAACCAGAAGCCTGGCAACTGACTCTCCCAGCACGCAGAACATCTCACCTTCATTTTATCATCGCAGGCAACAGGCAGTATAGTCTAGTCTCAAAAATGCAAACAGTGACTCAGAAATACAAAGATCAGCACAAAACATTAGAAACATCAGACATTTAAGAAAGTCAATCTAATAAAGGAAGACAGCAAACTCAACAAATCCAAGTTCTGAGAACTAAGGATATCAAATTAACACAGCAATTATGGAGCAATGAGAGAGGACATTGCATCCAAATAAAAAATAATCGACTAGAGATCTTGGACATAGGATGTTTTGTTGAAATAAAAGAAAAAGCAGTAGTTGTACTGAATGTAGAAATCAGAAGTCCTATGAAGGGTTCTAGAGGAAAAGAACACAGAGCATAGAAAGAAAGGGTAAAAAAAATAGGAGAAACATACTCAACTTGAAGAAGACATAAGTCTCAGATTTAAAAAGACTGTTAGGTGCTGGACAGAAAGAATGTGAAATATTCCAGATTTAAACATATTAAAAAATTTTTAAACCACTAAAAAAAGAGGAAATCCAAAACTTTTCAGACAAGGAAAAAGAAAGCTTGCTTATAGAGAGAATAACTCATATTGGCATAAATCTTTCATTTACAACACTGGATGCAAGAGGAAAATATAACAGTATAACTGGATTTCTATACCCAGCCAAACTATTGTTCACTTCAAATGGAAATACAAAATAGACACTTATCACTGACTTGGATAGTTTATCATCTTTAAACGGTAACTGAAAAAATTACTAGAAATTGTACTTGGCAAAACAAGCAAACAAACAAACAAACAAACAAGACAAATCCAAGAGGAAGATGCGAGGTAAAAGGAGAAAAGAGAAAACAAAACCAGTAAAATATACTACTAACAATAACAACATTTTAATTATTAGACTATGTAATAACTTTAATACATCTCAGATTGTCTCACATGGTAGCTGAAGGTAAACCAAAGAAAAAGGGAAACTTAAAGTGTGGTTAGGTCTTGTTCTATTTGAGAGTAACCAGAGATAGCAATGAACTCTAAATATTGACTAAAACAAACAGAAAGAAATGCTAAGCATAAATGCATGTGTTGTGAACCATGCACAAAGGACTTGCTTGAACACTGTGCCAAGAGACTTGACCACACTTCAGCCAGCCTTCCACCTGCACTACGTTGTGTCCCTAAAGCTGACCTCTGGCTTCCACTAGGTTACCTCCCCAAAGGTGACCTCAGTCCCAGGCTGAGTCTTTGCTCAAGAAAAGACAATGCTGGTTGGGAGCAGTGGCTCACGCCTGTAATCCTAGCAATTTGGGAGGCTGAGGTGGGCGGATTACTTGAGGTCAGGAGTTTGAGACCAGCCTGGCCAACATGGTGAAATCCCGTTTCTTGTAGTGCGTGGAGATTTTGCCACTGTACTCCAGCCTGGGAGACAGAGCGAGACTGTCTCAAGAAAAAAGAAAAGAAAAGAAAAGACAATGCTGCCAGATCTAAGAAAATACATTATTCCAGCCCACATCACCAAGCTATTTTAGTAATTAATTCTCTATTTACCTCTTTCTGTAATTTTTCTTCTGCAATTTCTCTGTAGCCCCCCTACTTTCTTTTGATTCCTGTTTTCACACTTCCTGACAGCCCCCTCTGCTCTCCCTTTGCAACCTTATTTCCCTTGTCTTGGTTAGAATTGAGCTCAGTTTATACTGGTTTCTCTCCTACTGCAGGAGCCTGAATAAAATCTGTCTTGCTGCCTTTGGCAAGTATCTGGTGCTGTTTTCCATTGTCAGTGTTAAGAATATTTAGATAAGAATTGGAGTAATCAAGTAAAACAGTAAGTTCTGAGCCTCAGGGTATCAAGTTTAGATAGTGCAGTCACAAAGAAGGTCCCTTTGAGGAAGAGACATTTAAATCAAAAGCCGAAGGGCAAAAATGAGGCAGGCTTCCCCAAAACTGGGGGAAGAGTATCCTAGGTAGAGGTTACAGCAAGTGAAGAAGCCCTGGGCAGGAAAAGACCTCAGCAGTTTGAACAACAAAGAGAAGATAAATGTGAAAAAGGTGAAAAGTAAGCATGACAGAAAGTGGTTTTAGGTGAGGTTTGGGAGGCAGGCAGGGGCACTTGGAGATCGCTGGGCTGCCTGATGTTTTGGCTACCCATGTTTCTGCTTAGAGTGTTATAATTCCAAATGATTTATAACTCATATGTGTCCTTGTCTAGCTTTCTCCTCAGGCAAGGAGCTTAAAGACAGCAAGGACTGTGTCTTGTCATTGGTATTTCCCCAGCATCACACACACAGCCAGCTCTTAGTAACTGCTCAGTAAATGAAGAGTTGTTCATTCCTGTGCATTTTTTTGGGTCTCTCGCCCACAGACTCTGCAATTCTGCCAGATTTGAGACTGAATAGGTAAGAGAAGCAGGTATCTTCTTATGTTTCTTCAAAGAGATGTTAGCTGCAGGCACATCCCCCAAACAAGGTCCAGGCTTCCAGAGTGAAGGCATTTCCCCCAATACTGAACTTGAACTTCTCTCTGACTCCTCAAAACCCTCCCTGCTCACCTTCTGCCCACTCTAGTATACAGGAAGGTTAGACCCGAGAAGCTGAAAACCAGGCTCCTGAGTTGAAAATACGAACACACATGAGCCACAGGTCTTCCGGGGAAATGTACCTGCACACGGTCCCTCATTCCATGGGCGCCATCCCTGTCAGCTTTGGAGATTGGCTCATGGAGTTCTACAGCTTCTCACCAGGACACAGTTGGGTGCCATGGGGCATGGGGGTAGATAATCAGCACGTGTGGGCCTGCCCTTCCACCCAAAGAGGTTCTCAAAGGACCCCCTGTTCCCTTTGATCAAACAAAGTGGAGTGAACTAACAACCAGCTCAGTGGGGCTGTATTTCTTAGAAGGAAAAAGTGCTAGGAGAGATGACTTGCTAGTTTACTTCAGAAGCGAGCACTCAGGTAGTATGGCTGGCTGGAATTGCCCAACAGGGCTGGAGAAACAGCCCTACCCCCATCATGGAGGACAGGAACCTATTCTTTGGAAACTGAGGTCTTTCCATCTGGTACCCTAGAAACACTCAGAGGGGTTTTGACCAACATAACTCTGCATTCCGCAGGAGAGTCTTCTCATCATTGTTGCAGAGAAAAGTCTTCTGTTCCAGAAGAAACCTAGAGTAGGAGACCAGGAGGTCCTTTAGTCTAATTCTCTCCACATTAAGGACCAATATTGTGTAAACCTCCTTATATTAGTGAATACCCCCGTCCCAATTAACATGAGGGTGATACAAGATTATGAGTAGAGAGGCCTCTTGCTTGGGTATTTTGAAAACAAAAAGCTCCCTGGATGATTCCACTATACTCTCATAGTCAAATATATATATATTTAAAAACAGAATGCAAAAAAAAAAAAAAAATCAAAAACAAAATGCATCCACTTTTTCTTGAGTTTGGTGTGTGTATGTGTGTGTGTTTAGGAGTGAAAGTGTGGAGGTGAGTTCTAACCTGTGCTGCTCACTGTTCTGGAGAGGCAGCTGGGAGAGGTGCTGAATCCTGGAATAAGCTGATCTGACAAATTTCCTTACCCTTTTAAGACCTGGATTAGACATATCTCTTCTGAAGGCTTTTCTGATTCACCCAAGCAGACTTGATCCTTTTCCTCTTTTGACCCCACTCTACCACGAACAACTTATTAAGGCTCTTCTAATCTTGTGATTAAATGCTTACCTGTCTCCTCCAGTCCATAGTCTTCCTTCATTGGCTGGCTTCATATT